AGAAAGAGAAACAAATGAAAACATTCACACATTCCATCACAATCGGAGTCAATCAGCTGAGAACATGGCGGACAAGACAACACTCTAAAATTCACCCGTCGCTTCTTTGGCTCTGACTCTCATTCCACACATATAAGCATGAGCAGGTTCTCATCCGCCCCCTGTGGATGAGCAGGCAGATTAAAACGCTAACAGGAGTCAAACATCCCACTTCTTCTGTGTTCCTGCTGATAAAGTAAACCTAAGATAGACAAACAGATTAAGGCTAGACAGGCTGACAGCCGGCTAAACAGCCAGGAAGGCAGACGACTAGTCAGCGAGTCGACCAGACGGCGAGTCAATAAGCCGATGCTGTCGATGGACACCGCAGCCTTGTGTGGAGCCTCGGGCCCGTGGGCTTTCTCCTCCCATCTCCTGGCTTCGATAGGCTGGGTGGGTTAGGGAGTAGTGCTAACCTATATATGACAGGCTACATTACAGTCAGCATGGGCAGCCAGGCACATGCCCATACACACACATTCACGAAGCAGGCTAAATGCACACACACAAAGAGAGAACTCATGCTACATTTGGCCACGTGCTTGGGATAGAGCTTATGAGCTGTTCTGTCCAAACACTGCAGGGGAGTGTGTGTGTTGGTGCCTCCATATGTGACACACACACTCAAGCCAGACAGCTACAGTCAGAGGAATCTCAGGAGGACGAGCTCTTATCAGAGGCCATGCCAAGGTTAACATTCAGTTCAGGATAAATCTGTGGGTGTTTCTGTAACATCCACAAATTAGACCACTGCAACACCAACATGAGCAATTCATCCGCCCACATCGTACTGTAAAATCAAGATTGTCCATTTTTACCAACACTCAGTCCACGTAACTAACTTAACGGCATTCTTCAATTAAACCATTTACATACACAACTGCCCCAAAAACATTGACATTATTTTTGTTATTGAAGTGTCTTATTATCGGTGAATGGGAAATAAGAACTTACAAACGCAATTAATGTCAAACTACACTTCAAATAAATAACATGTTATTCTATTAATATTACTTTTCTTTTATTTAAAAATGACTTGTCAGTATTGCTGGTACATTTGACTATAATGCAAACCTCATGAGGAATACATCCTATTTTCTCACACCCCCACCCTTGTCCTCTGGGAACTGTAGAATGTAAACAGACAGTGAGGATTCGACCACTGGTATGTGGAGTCTCATCACCCTGTTTCCTTGTTTCGACTTTTACATGGACTTGTTTCTCTCCCGTCTTTGTCCTTCTGTTTCCTCTGGGCCTCTTCCCATTCCTTTACCACTGTATCCATAGGGACTGCAGCTGGACTCACTTGCATCACTTTCTACTGAAAGCACTGTGTATTATAACGGCTCATGAGGTAAATATAGTACGGTGCGACTTCTCTGCTGCTCCCAGTTCCTCTCTTTAACAGATGCATTGAACCTGGTCACAGATTAATACCACTCGATTGTATATTCTCAATGTTAATCTGCTGTTAATGACCACTCAACACTTCCTGCAGATGTATTTCTTCCAGGGAACAGAAGGGATTATTACCCCCCCGAGCCACTGAAGGGGCTGTAACATGAAGCAGATGGAGGAAGTGTTGAGTTTGCATTAAGTGCAAACCGCATCAACAGCAAATTAACACACAGACTGGAGGCAGATCAATTATAATCTGATATAAAGAAGGGGAAATTACAAATAACCACCTGTCTCCAAAAACACCTCAGTCTCAAATGAAGGCCTGGTACCCTTCAAGCTAAGTTAAATACATAATAACTACTGATTTAAAGTATCCTAAATTAGCAATGCAGCTTAAATCACTTTGATTTTGAATCACCACAGCTGAAAACCTAATGAGAAGCTGCATCTAATGTCCTAAAATGGTCCCTGTTGGCTTCACTTTCTGGGTTCTAAAGTTTCGAGTGTCTCACATCACAGCCTCGTTAAAGTTTTGTCCTCTCAAGGTCACAGCTGCTGTTTCCTGTCCGACTCTGATACACATCCTGCAGCTCGACAGATACAGCGAGAACACCATGACACAAAGATGATTATTAGAGTTGGCAGAATAATGTTTGCTTCTACAAGCTGTGGACTCCACAGTCTGAACAGCAGCAGCAGTGGAGGGGGGAACCAAACAGGCCGACCCCCTCAGCAGCAGCTCGGCCTGCTTCCTCTCTACAGTCCAGCTGGAATCCCAACTATGTCTCCTGTAACCAGCCCTCGAAACATCCAACAAAAGGTTTCGGCGTGCTGCTCAAAGAAAACAAGAAGAGAGGAGAAAGAGGAGGGAGGAGAGGAGAGGTGAGGCACGGAACAGCAGAGATGGAGAAGAAAAGAAAACAGCAGGACAAGGAATGGGAGAGAAATCATAAAAAAGGAAAAAGTGTGGCGAAAGAAAGGGCAGAGAAAAACAGAGGAGAGGAAAGACCAGGAAAGGAGCAAGAGCATCCCCTCGCTCCTCAGAGCCTGCAGGTCTTATTCAAAGTAGAAAAGAATCCATGTAGGATTGTAATAACTAAAAAGAAAAGGTCTGACTCAAACATCCCTTTGTCTGTGGCCTTAATCCAGACTCTGTAATGATAAATGATGACAGATGTGTTTTCTAACCTCGGAATATTCTGCTAGAGCAACAAGACCCGACATATAGTAGCCTCCATATGTTTGAAACAACAATTACCAGAGAATGAAACGATGCATCTGACAGAAAACAACAAATTAAAGCTCTTCTACAAAGCTCATTGGTCAATTTGTGAGCGTTTGTGTTTAAAAGCCAATTCTGTCAAGACAGGAAGTGATGACAGGCGTGCTGACGAATGTATCCTGTTTAAATCACCTCACACAGTTGATGCACTGTGATGTGGCCTTGAGAAAAGAAAACATTTGAGTCAGTGTAGATGCATAATCACTGACTCATTGTTTTACCTCTTTGTGACAGACAACCACTGGCAGGCACCATCGTCTGCAGAAAAACTATGCAGATAAAAAAATTCTGGAATGTGACATTTGGCTTTCGCCTCATTTTATTCTCATAAACCGTTCGGACAGATTTACAGACATGCAAATATCTGCCTGGACAGAGACGTTCCCCTTCACAACAGGCATGGCTGCATCCTTTGCGTGTAATCCACACATGTTTCACACGTGCACTTTCTGCAGGCAAAGTAGCAAAGAATCAATTTGTGACTCGTTTTCGGGATCGAACTTTGATTGCGCGTCCACGCAAGAAAATCACGTAGGACATATGAACTTCCTCACTCATATAACTCGTGGTCACGGAGAACAAACTGACCCAACAGAGCAAAGAATTCAACAGGACGCTTGTCACTCTGACCGAAATTTAATTGGCCCCAACTTGCAGAGTGGGAAAAAACTAATTGGTTTGACAGTAGCGAGGAGGAAATGTAATTGGCTGGGTAATGTCATTCACAAGAGGGCGGGAGTAGGAGGAGGGGGAGGAGGCAGTGGTGCCATCTGGGTGTCAGCAAACCGTTAGATAATCCTGGGGTCTCTCTTTTTTTCTCCCCCTCCCGTGCTGCCCTGACGACAACTGCTGCCAGCCTGTCTGCCATGTCTGTTTCTTAGTGTCACACAGAGCCATTCGCACAGTAACACTGCAGTTTGTACCGCGACAGCTGGCATCAACAGTAAAAAAGTGCAACGCTCATGTTTCTTCAGCCTGAGTGCAAAAATGTTTGAGTAAAATCATTGCGTGTGACTTTTTAAGAGTTTTATCATCCACTCTGGAAAACGAGCGAGTTTCTTGGCAGCACTTTTTTCTCACAGTCTGTGAAATCGAGTGTTTTCTGAGTGTAAACAACAGCTTCTGGCACGAGGCCGAGCAACAGCCCAAGAATGAAAGTGAATACAATCCCCAGTGATTATTACCTACACTACATGAAAGAAACTCACCTGGTCTCTAAGCTTCTTTTAATGAGTAACAGTGTTCGACGAAGGAAGGGAGGAATGAATTCACAGCCATTTTATTCTTCCAGTCAACACGCAGCTTATTTCTACCTTTTAACACTGAATTCTTGCCAGTAGACGTGACTGGGTCTTTGCAGTGGCTGCTCCTAATCTCTGGAACATCTTATCTTTTCATATCCAAACCGCTCCTAGACCCTAGAAACGTCTAATTCATTCCTCAAGACCCAATTATTCTTACTGGAGTCAAGTTAAAGACCCGATTTCATCTGCCACGGTACAATACTTAAAATCTCAAGTTTAATGAAAATATTTTGTAATTCTTCTCTATTCATATGCTTTTGTTTTGGTATTTTAAGCCGGTTCAGCACTTTGGTCGACTGTGGTTGTTTTAAACTTACTGTATAAATAAACTTTGACTTAAAACACGAGTAGGACGAGTGAAAAAAATGTGTTTTCCATGGATGTCGCCATTTTAAAGCCTCCCTCAGTAGCAGCAAGGTTTAGATGCATGAGCTCTAACATACACTTTAGCTAATGACACGGTCTGTTTTGTTTAAGTGAGCCGAGCTGCTGGAGGTGAACACACAGAGCTGGTAAAGTGAAGCAGGCAAACAAAGAGCAGTCTCACCAACATTACATCTGACCCACACTGTAGGCCCTCTGTGTGGGAGGGTGGCTGGGCAAGACAACTACCAACAGCTGCCTCTGTCCAAACCAAATGCACAGGGGGGAAAAAAGACAGATACACACACGCAGACACAGAAGCCCTGCAGAAAAGTGCACACACAAATATAAACACACAGAGCTGGCCGTGACAGGCAAGCCCCGACATCCTGTCAGGCGATTACTAAGCCAGACACAGTTCATTTCAGCTCAGCGCCCGACTGTCCTCTGCAGGAGCACTCAACCGACCCCAGGAAACCCCTGTCCAGCTCATTCCATCTATTTACAGACAGAAATCTCATCACACATCTTAGTCTTAATACACTGAGCTGAGGAGCTGCCATGTGGCCCGACAACTTCTGCATGCCACCTTTTTCTTTCTCCCCCCCTGAAGGTTCTTAACCATTTTGGTAAATGATTTGCTGCCTCGTTCTGTCTCATCTCATATCCTTCCGCTTGCTTTCCGCCACACAGTGGAAAATACTCTAAAAATACTGCTGACTCCTTCACTGTTTTGAAGAGGCAGCCTGTGGAAGAGGAAAGACGCCCTTGCTTGTTCAACTAAACCTGCAGTGGCCTCCCTAAACACCGCTCTCTGTTTGGAGGGAGTCCTCTGGGAGTCTACAAGCAGTCTGAATGAGTGGGAGGATGAAAAACAAAAAAGAGAGGGGGGAAGAGGTATAGTTGAAATCTGGAGGTAAGCATCATCCTGTGAGAGTGATACGGCCTAACAGCGGGAGGTGGAGGACAGAGGAAGAAGGCAGAGGATGAGGAGGAGGAAGAGGACACCAACCAGAGACAGGAAATAGCCTGTAGGGTTAATCAGCTCCTCATGCAACACAGCTCCAACGTAATCCCTCTCAAAACAGTTCATGTTACATGCTTAAGTAAATTCTGCACAGATACAAATGCAAAGAAAGACTTGTCCAATCTGCCAAACTAACCTTCAGATGTGAGATTCTGAAGCAAGACGCTGTCCCATTAAAGTGGGACCCAGTAAAATCTCTTAAGAAGAGAAAATCAATTCCACTGGAAGTAAGCTTGGTTAAATGCTCCTCACTTACACGGGGAATGCAAGAGGGCTGAATGCTGAGAGATGCATTAGTGGGAAATATGGAAAAACTGTTTGGCCAGAGGGAAGCAACATCAGCGGCAGTCTGGAGCCAGACAAAGAAAAAGGAAAATAGTTTTCTGTGATGCTTCGTAACCGGAAAGTCACTGATTTGACACCTGATGCCTCAGCCAACAAACACCATGTGTCACCGTCAGGAGACCTGCAGTGGCACCTACTTCCCTTTTCAATGAGTGAAATGAAACAAAGTGAGTGTGTGTGTGTGTGTGAGCTGATGCATTGCTGTGTGGGCTGCATCCCTGCTTAAGGCTTCTATTTCCAGTTTAATCTACAGCACAGCAGGAAGCGCTGCAGCGTCCAGGGGCGGGGTGTCTCCCAGCCGGCTGTAGATGACACTGGAAGGTGAGGAAATAAAAAACGCAGCAGTGGAAAGCTGTGGTGCTGCGTCCCTCCACTGACTGTGCATGCTCACAGACAGTCTGAACAGATCCTAACAATAGCAGTCTGCAAGATTTCTGACAGTCTGACCCTTCATTGGCCCCAATACAAGGTCCCTTTGTGCATAGCCTACATTCACTTCAATCCAATTCACTCAGGAGCTGGACTGAGGCTGGAGTCCTTGAAGGGATGAGGAGGATGATGACCCCGCAAAAAAGCCCCCAGGGTGAGTTAGCATCTCAACCCTCCTCCACATTTTTTACAGACCCTGCATGCAATCAAACTGCATATGCTGCACACATCGAACTGTGTCTGCAGTATAATGGTGATCATGTATATATAACAGTCTCTTAACGTGGTGCGTTCGAGGACCCGAGCATGCAGGCAGAGAGGCCAATCCTGTTACAGTGCGTTGGCCTCTGCAGGGGCCTGACAGATGGGTCGGTCTGGGACATTACTGCGTCAGGTTACTTACATCTCCAGCATGATCTCGTTCAGGTAAATCCCGTCCACTAATTCAATATATTCCGATAATTTGGTGCCATCGGTCACTGAGGGCTGGCCCACTGTCTTCACCTGGAAAGTGGGAGAAAAGAAAGGTGTTAAGATGATCAATGATCACATACGGAGGGGGGGGGGGGGGGGGGGGGTTAATTGGTGGGATCAGTGTATTCGAATGGGTCATTATGGATCTTACCCAGCAGACCAGAGGCGTGAGCATGAACTGCTCCAGCAAAGGGGTGAAAACCTCGCTTTCCATATTTTTCTCTCCAGAAAAACTGGCGCCGTTTATTTCGGGATAAAAAGGAGGAAACAGCACAATGTGCGCTCCCTGGGAGAAATGTGCGTTTGTTCAGACTCCACTCATGAAGCTGATTCGATTAAATCGACGCTCATTTTGGATGAAGGCTCCTCCGAAGGTTTTTTTTTTCTTGGAGGAGGAAGAAAAAAAAAGGTAAATCCACAGGATCCAGCTGTTTCAGATGTCGGGGCTCGGCTGCCTCATGGAGGAGACGAGCAATCCCATTTTTCTTTGTTGGAAATAAGGAAACTGGGATATTAAAAGCATGTATCCTCTGGTTTATCTACACGAGAGCAGCTCTCACTGATACTAAGGAGAAATATTCCAATCAAATCCAGTGACAAAAAAAATTCTCCAGTGCGCACGAGATCCAGATGTTTCCAGAGGAGCCCGCTCTTCACATCGTCCTTTCACTCCTCATGTGTCAGGTAAAGTCATTTCTGAGCGGCTCCTTCATTCGTCCTCCACGTCCTCCTCCGTTCAAATGCTGCATGATAGTGAACAGAGAGAGTTGAGGGAGGATGAGTGGAGGACAGAGCACCGCCTCCCTCTCTCCCTCCGCCTCCCCGCCTCTGAAAAGGAGGGGAAAGAAGAAAATAGGGCATTGCTCAAAGCATGTCTTTCAATTTAGATTTATTTTCTAAAGTGTCAGGAATTCCTCTCGGAGACGATTTGTCCGTTTGGTGCAGTTTGTTTATCTGAAGAGGTGAGAAGAGGGACGAGGATGTTTTTTATTAAGGAAGGAGGAGGATATAGAGGGAATGAGTTAATCTGCAGCTATTGTGAAGGATTTGATGTAACATTGGATGGAAAATATTCTTATTTCATTAAAGTATTGGTAAGAAATAATATATAAACCCTTTGTCTGCTTTGACATGATACAGTAACAGTGGAGCCACAAGGTAAGTAGGCTGCTGACACCTGGTGGGTAATGAACAGAGAGAATACTACAGGATTACACTCTGAGTTTATCTGAATTATATATATATATATATATATATATATATATATATATATATATATATATATATATATATATATATATATATATACTGTATATACATACACAAACAAAAATACTCACTACAAATAAATTGTTTTCTTCAAAATGTTTTACTTTAATTGGTAGCACACAAACAAATTTAAGTTAAGAAGTTCCATGAACACAATTTATAGCTTTAATTTTAAAATATGAGGTATTGACGTATGTTTTTAAATTGAACAACAATTTGGTTTTTCAGTGCAGTCATTAAAATGAGGACTTGAAATAATCTCTTGCTGGAATCTGTAATTGGGATTTACTGTCATATATGGAACTATTAGTCAGAAATGTAAACTAAGAACTGCCTGATGAACTTCAGTGTATCCAGTATTTTAAAACAAGTGGTGGACACAGTTTTTCTTTCAGCTGTATCAGCAGCAAGGTAATAGAAGATAAGAACCACAGAGAAACAGGAGACGCCTTATCGACAGATGATGAATGGCTCTGTGGGTGTGAATATGCAGCAGAGACCAATGCAGCCAAATGGCCAATTCAAATACAATCACTGATTTGGGAACTTGGGTCCTGGTTCACCTCAACTCACAGTTAAAATAAATGGATTATTGCTCGTTCCCCTGAAATGTTGGAATAGGCACATTTCAGCAGAAGCAGATAAGAAGAGAGGTTCTCATTTGCATATAGAGTAACGGTCGTTCACTGGTGCTGCGGCTTCAGCTTGAGGCAAACGAGATCCTGACTGGACCTGTTGTGTCTTGTTTGGTGCAGAACGGGTTTGACTAGAAGGATGAACTGTAAACGTCACATCAGGACGACACATCATACAATGTAAATTAAATTCCAATGTTTTGTCAAAACTGCCATTCAAATGATCTATTACAGTATTTTATGATCTGCATCACCCTCCGACTGATTTCAGTTTGTATTCCTTTAGACTGTTATACACTTTATGTTACATTGTTTGTTTGAAAAGTCCTTTTTTTTAAAAATAATGTCTGATCAATCGATTAATGGATTGATTTAAAATGCTGCTGGGAGTAGCTGATATTAGCCACCGTGCACCACAGGTCATGACAGACTTAGTTTAATACACATTTAAACTCGTTTTTATGACTTTGCTTTTAATTAACTCAACCAAAGCTTTTCTTTTATTTTAATCTTGGCCCTTTTTTCTAATCCCTTCTTCAAACATTATATTATTTCAAACAATAAATATTCTCTGTAGCTCTGAATGCTCGTCTGTATCATCAGGTCTTTTTGGGCGTCGCCTTGTCAGAGTTGATTGACGGTTGTCTGGCAATGCAAACAAACAGCTCCACGTCTGACGTCATATTTAGATTCAAATGTGGCTCCGTCATTGAAGGAGACGTACAAACGTGGAACAGGTCCCTCCCACTATAAACCAGTTAGAAGAAGAACAAAAACATCTTGAGAGAAATATTCAAAACTGAACAAATTTGTCAGAAAATGTTGAGTCCAAAGACCTCGGTTGCTCGGAGAGACAAGCTCTTAGAGAACAAAGGTTGTCAGGGTCTTTTATATATTTTACATTTTGTTCCGTTTCACAAAAAGATTCAGTTTCTCCTTAGAAATCGTTAAAGTTTATCTAATCCTAATGATGTCAATTACAAAGGGGATTTTGCTTCAAAATCTAAAACCAAAGCTTTTCAAAGGCATCTCATTCACTTTTCTTCTAACCCCTCACTCCAGAATAAATCTAAACACACGCAGATAATGAAAACCTCTCATGGTTCATGGAGCGACTGCTTCCCCACACAGCAGCCTGAAGACAATTATGTTCCACTCAATTACCACTGAGGATTAGATGGATATTTTCTAAAGCCTGGTGTGTTAGTGATTGTGTATGTGTGTGTGTGTGTGTTTGTGTGTGTGTGTGTGTGTGTGTGTGTGTTTGTTTGTGTGGGATTCATTAACCTTGGATTGAAAAGGCTGCTCCTGGCTGCCTCATCAAAATCTAATATTCATGATGCTTTTAAGTTTTCCGCACAAAGCAGCATCCACCTCCACCTAATGACTCAGGGATTGTTCAGAACCGCAGCAGCATTCCTCACACACACACACACACACAAACACACACACACACACACAGTCACACACACATACACACACACACTCACAACCCACCAACCGCCTCTTTTGGCTAAAACTCCCCTGAACCACTAGAGCACACATGGAACATTTTCCTCTGGTTGTTATTCAACAATCCCAGAGATTTAAAAAAAAAAAAAGAAAAAGAAATCCACTGACCACTAAACACTAAGAGAATATTTCTTCTCTGAACAACTGGGTGACCTCCTCTCATATGAAATCTGGTGTTCTGACGACTGCAGCTTCCTGTTTGTTAGTTTACAGGAATTTACAAGTCACCACAAACAGTTGGAGTTGGCGCTGAGATGATCTCTTAAGGCTTTGACTGCAGGGATGGCTGAGTAACCCTGCGAGAAAACGTAACATATAATCTGTGTTGAACGATAAAGTGATATGACTAATATACTAAAGGAATCATGCTCGGAAATCCTTAACTAAACCAAAGTGTGGGTTTGAGTTCAGGATTGACGTGGTTCAGAAGTCCAGACAGAGAGAGGATGGATGATCCGGTGTTAGCGAACAAAGTGCACAGAAAGTAAAGCACATAAAACTTCTAAGTGACAAGACAGTAAAACAATAATAATTGAGTTTCATCCCAATCATCCAGTCTGAGTGACCAAAGTCATTAGGAATGAAACTCTTGGTATCTTTATTTTTAATGATAGATAATAATAAAGATATCGTGCTGAACAGATATCAAGTCAGTTTATTAACCTGTGGTAAGTTTCCTTCCTGATCCATCAGAAACTGACAGTAATCACTTATCTCCATGGAAACCCTCCTTTTCCATCATCAAACGTTACTCACATCTTACTGGACTGACGACATGATTTAAAGACCTGACCTTTGTCGTGGCAGCAGAGGTCAGTCTGACCCTCCACTCCTCATCCATTCATCTCCATCCCGTGACGCTGGGGTGGGAAATCGATTCCTGTAACGATCAGCTCTCCGGCTGGAATGATTGAGACCCCTGTGGTACAGTCGAAGCCTAATTGCATAACACCACAGGGCTGGAGCCAGATAAAGATGCAAACACATTTCTTAAAGCAGAGAAATTAAATGTGTTTTCTTATAGAGACACAGATTTACGAGACTGTTAGATCTTCTCTGACTGCCAGAATAATATTAAACACATTTTACCAGCTCTACATTCATTGTGGATTTTAATTTTTTTTGCCACATTTTGTTTTGTCTTGGTTTGTTTTCTTATTTTATTTCTTTATTTAATCACGAGCCACAGTCCGATGTCCTCAAGGCGAGTCTTAATGTTCGCTCTGGATTCAAAAGTAATCAGCTCTTAGCAAATCCAGGCCTGGAGGCTTTAAATGACTCAGTCTGATTTATGCCTGAGAGGGTTTTTAGATCAACATCACTGCAGGGAGCCAATAATTCGTGATGCAGGGGTCAGAGCGGTAATGAAACAAAGTTTAGTCATGAACATATTTATAGTGAGACAAGAAAACAAATAAGTACAGATGCTGTGAAGATTTTTAAATGTTGTACCTGGAGATACTACACTTTGCTTTGTGATAAATCTCAGTGTTAAAAACCAAGGAAAGTGTATTTTCTTTTTCTTTATGTCAAATCTTGTCTGTCTGCAGGGTAATAAATTCTGATGTACATCCAACTAAGGGATGGAATTTCTTTTATCACTTCCTTTAACATTGTGAAATAGGGCCCCTGGCAGAGGATGTGCTTTGCTGAGTGCCATTGTAGTTGTGTATGTATCACTCAGGCTTCGACCCACTCATCTATAAATCTTATTCAGGCAGTCTACACACACACACACACACACACACACACTAATCTACATCCAATCAATAGTCTGCTCCTGTGAGGTTAGTTTATTATTGAGGCTTCATACTGACAAAGCAAATCTGCCATTGAATCAGCTGATTTGTTTAAATGTAGTGTGTGTGTGTGTGTGTGTGTGTGTGTGTGTGTGTGTGTGTGTGTGCCTGTTCTTTCCTTTGGTAACTCAAAGAACTTTTTCCGTCTGTCCTGAAGTGGTTTATTTCAGTTTTTATTCTCATTTTTATACAAAACAAACATTTAATTTTATATTTATTTCGAGTAATTTTGAGGTGTGGACAAAACAATCTGTGTGAATGTGTTGGGTAATGGGTAAATAACTTGCCCCTGTCAACTACAACAACAACAAGATGCTGCTGAGGAAATAATACTAATGAGTAATAATCATCTGACAATAGCCTAAAATATAATCCTCACTTGAGCTTGTTTTCTAGATTGAGACATTTTATGTTTGATACATTTTCTGGATTTTACTGTTATTTGATAATAGCTACAATTTATTTATCCATTTTAATAGTGTTTATACAGAGTTCTTTTATTTTTAGTGGAATA